AATTGATGCTTTTGAACTGTGGTGTTGGAGAAGACTCTTGAGAGTCCCTTGGACTGCAAGGAGATCCAACCAGTCCATCCTAAAGGAGATCAGTCCTGGTTGTTCATTGGAAGGACTGATGTTGAAGCTCAAACCCCAATACTTGCCCACTTGATGCAAAGAGCTGACTCATTTGCAAAGACCCTGATGCTGGGAAAAATTGAGGGCAGGAGGAGAAGGGGACGACAGAGGATGAGATGGTTGGATGGCATCACCGACTCTATGGACAGAGGTTTGGGTGGACTCTGAGAGTTGGTGATGGACAGGGAGGCCTGGCGTGCTGCGGTTCATGGGGTCACAAAGAGTCGAATATGACTGAGCGACTGAACTGAACTGAACTGATGTTCTATTTTTAATTTTTTGGAATCTCCAGTTTTCTATTGAGGCTTTACCAATTTACATTCTCACCAACAGTGCATGAGGGTCCTCCTTTGTGCACATCCTTTCTAACATTTGTTATTTGTTTTCTTTTTGATAGTACCCATTCTGATGGATGAGAAGTAGTATATTATTGTGGTTTTGATGTGCTTTTACCTGATGGATAGCAATAAGAAGCATGTTTTCACATTCCTATTAACCATCTGTATATCTTCTTTGGCAACATGTCTCTTCAGATCCTCTGCTCCTTTTTTTGTTGTTGTTCATATTGAGTTCTGTGATTTTTTTGTATATTTTGGACTTAACCCCTTATCAGGTGTCCTCCCACATTCAGTACACATCCTTTAGATGTGTTGATTAATTTCCTTCACTCTCCAGAAGCTTTGTAGTTTGATACAGTCCCATTTGGATTTTTTTTTTTATTGTGTTTTCCTTGCCTGAGAGACATATTTTAAAAAAAGAATGCTAACACTGATGTCATAGAGTGTATTTTTAGTTTTCTTCTAAAACATTTATGATTTCAGGTCTTACATGTAAATGTTTAATGTATTTTGAATGTAGTTTTGTGCCTGGTGTATGAGAATAGTTCCTTATGTGTAGGTGTCCACCTTTCCTAACATTTATTGAAAAAGCTATCTTTTTTGCATTGTATATTCTTGCCTCTTTTATTGTAGATTAATTTGCCCATGTAAGTATAGTTTCATTTCTGGGCATTTATTGTGCTCCACTAATCTACATGTCAGTTTTTGTGTCAGAACCATACTATTTTGATCATGATGGCTTTGTAGTATAGTTTGAAATCATGGAGTATGATACCTCCAAGCTTTGTTCCTTTTTCTTAAGACTGTTTTGCTATTTGGGGTCTTTTGTGTTTCCATACAAATTCTAGGATTATTATAGTTCTGTGAAAAAATGTCATTGGTATTTTGATATAACATTAATTCTTCTAGTTCATGAACATGGTTAATCTTTCTGTCATGGCAAATATTTCCATCTATTTTTATAATGTTCAACTTTTTTCATCTAGTGCCTTATATTGTCTCAGTACATGTCTTTTTCTTCCTGGGTATTTTATTGCTTTAGATGAAAAGTTTTTTTAGTTTCTTAATGATATTCATTTCTTAATTTCCTTTTCTGACAGTTCATTGCTATATATAGAAATTCATTGATTTTTGTATATTAATTTTGTATCTTACACCCTTTGCTGAATTCATTGATGAGCTTTAGTAGTTTTGGTGGCATCTTTAAAGTATCCTATGTATAATATCCTGTCGTCTACAATTAGTGACAGTTTTACTTCTTCCTTTCCAATTTTGATTCCTATTATTTATTTTCTGATGGCTGTGACTAGACTTCCAATAATATGTGGAATAAAAGTGGCAGTGTTACTGAATTACAAGCCTGTGAGCCCAACACACAATGAGGTCAATCAATACTAAAACACTAGATTTGGAACAGAGAAAGGTTTACTGCAAGTTCATACAAGGAGATGGGTGGCTCATGCCCTAAGAACCCCGAAATGATTGAAAGCTTTCAGCAAGCCCCTTTAAAGGCAAAAGGTGAGGGAGGGGTGTGGAGTTGTTGCAGACTTCTTAGTGTCAGATCCTTTGTTCTTGAGGTCAGGTCATAGTCAGTTAATAATATTCCTGTAAAACTCTACCAAATGAATGTTATTCTCTGTCCTGACAAAAAAGGCAAGGTCCTAAGGCACAACTTTCACCCTCAAAGGTCCAAGTCCTGGCTAAGAGGAGGCAGATCTCAGTGGGCAGCTCCTTCAGGGCCAGGTTCCTACACCCCACTCAGCTGTCATCCCTGAGGGAGCCAGGGACCCAACCCAACTGGCCCCCAGTCTCCTCAGGCTGTCCAGATTGGGGGGACCAGGTCTTACAGATGCAGCCCAGGCAAATGACTACTGCTGTGATGTCGCAGAGATAGGGATGGGGGAGAGGCTCACTGCTGCCTCAAGGCCTGGGCCAAGGCTAGTAGAGGGCCTTAGTAAGGGCTTGGAGCCTGCAGGATGTAGTCCCCGGTCTTTTCCCTGGGTCCTTCAGCTCACCCACTGGATCAAGGCTGGGTGAGTTAGTGGGCCTCTAGGAGAAGGCCTGAGTCTGCCTCCACCTGCTGACTACCACACCACTCACCCCTGGCTGAATCACTACCCTAATGGTCCCCTATTGGCAGTTATTTCTGGGTAGGGCCCACTGCAGCACCGACCAATAGCTGAGCAGGACAACCATGGTCACTCATTGACTGTTGGTTGCTTGTGGGTAGGACTCACTGAGGCACTGACCAATGGCTGAGCAAGATCCATTGCCTAGTAACAGCATACAGAATAATGAGGCACACTAATGGCTGTCTGCTAAGGGCTATGCTCATCCTGCTCTGTTACAACAAGAGTGGGTATCTTTGACTTTTCCCTCATCTTGGAGGAAATGCTTTCTACTTTTGATCATTGAGTATAATATTAACTGTAGACTTGTCATTGATTGATTTTATTATGTTGATTGTGTTCCCTGTGTAGTCACTTTTGAGAGTTTTTTTTTTTGAGTTTTTTTTTTAAATCATAAATGTTGAATGTTGTCAAAAGCTTTTTCTTTATCTATTGAGAAAATCATTTATTACTTTTGTTCTTTGATTTCTTACTGTAGTGTATCATATTGACTGATTTGTGGAAATTGAATATATAGTTCATGGAATTCTCCAAGCCAGAATACTGGAGTGGGTAGCCTATCCCTTCTCCAATGGATCTTCCCAACCCAGGAATCAAACTGGAGTCTCCTGCATTGTAGGTGGATTCTTTACTAAGCTACCAGGGAAGCCCTAGTGTATCACATTGATTGATTTGTAGAAACTGAATCATCCTTGTATCCCTGGGACGAATCTCACTGGATCATGTTGTATGATCCTTTTAACATAATGCTGAATTATGTACACTAATATTTTGCCAGGGACTGTTTCATCTATGTTCATTAGTGCTTTGCCAAGCTTTACTTTATTGTGCTTTGCAGATACTGTGGTTTTTTTTTTTTTTTTTTTTGGTAATTGAAGGTTTGTGGCAACCTTGTGTTGTCAGTTGATGGTTAGCATTTTTTTTAGCAATAAAGTATTTTTAAATTAAGGTATGTGCATTGTTTCTAAGACATAATGCTACTGCACACTTTATAGGTTACATATATATGTGTGTGCTAAGTTCCTTCAGTTGTGTCCAGCTGTTTAACTGTTGCCCACCAGGCTCTGTAAACATAACTTTTACATGCATTGGGAATCCAGTAAATTTGTGTTACTTTCTTCATTGCAATATTTACTTCATGCAGTAGTCTAGAACCAAATTCTTCCATATCTCCAAAGTAATCTGTTTTGTCATATTCAATAAACCTGGAATGTATTCATATATATACTTCTGCCAGAGGGGATGGGGAAATCTTATGACCATGTAGACAGACTGCACTATCTTGTATTCAGTGAACATCTAACAGGATCTCCTAAGCACCATAAACTTTGGTATATTAGAGAAGAAGCATATATATTCAGCATTCTCCAGCTAGAGTGAATTCTAAATTTACAAAACAGGCTGGTATCCAAAGTTCACCCATCACCATTTCACATAAGCTGATACATTTCTGTATGTTATATATAACATGATTTCACCAAAGATCTCAAAATTTCTAATTTTGCAGATCATAGATGTGAATTGTGTTAATTAGAGAGGAATAATTAATTTCTTCACATACTCTGGACTTAAATAAATAGGAAGTTGAACCATGTTTGTAGATGAAAATTCTTAAAAATAAAAAAATGGAAATTATTACTTCATTAACTTAATTAGTAAACAAATTTAATTTATTCCCAAATGGAGAAATTTGTCCCTGAACAAAATCTTCCAAATATGAACATTTTATACTTGTATATATGTTTAAATGTGTATGTGAAAACATAAATACTTCAGATGGCACTCATTTAATGAGGAACAGAGAAACAGGCATACTTGTAGTTTGTCTTTTCCATAGGAAGATGGTGTAAGAGTTTTGAAGAGTAACTTGGTCTTATCTTTAAAATTTCAACTGCACAGATTATTTGACCCAACAATGCAACTATTAAAATATAGAATTAGGTGAATGAACATGTGGTGACCTGCACAACTTACAAGATTGCTGGCAAAAGTATTTAACAAGAATAAGTTAAAAGGAATTTGTATTTATATATGGTTATATGAAGATATACTATAAAAAAGTTTAAAAAAACTAGTTACAAGGAAGTATCTTGATTTTATTTTTCTGTCTCTATTCTTATCTATCATCAATCATATTTAAGGCCAGCATCTTCAAATTTCTCTTAGTTCCATCTTCATTTTGACCTTTTTAGTGAGTCTGCATCAAATTTCCTTCAGTCTCCCTTTTTTAAGGATACTTGTGATGACATTTAGGGCTCTCTTAGATAACTTATGTTTATATATATGTGTGTGTATATTTATATACTATGTGTATATAGATGTCTATGTGTATCTATAATGATAATGTTATTACATATATGTTTTATTATATGTATATGTTAGTATATTTGTAACTATATAGATATATATATAACTATATATACATTTATGAATATATCCATATACACACATATGCATATATTTATGTGTGATTTTAGTATAGTTATGTAATAAATACCTGTACCTTTATGCATATAAATATATTTATATATGTAAGCATTTTCAGAAAAGATATGCATCAAATAACCCACATATCTAACACTCCTTTAGCAGATAATTTTGAAAACTTGTGACCTGTTCTGTTTCATAGGCAGTGTCTCCAGCTGTTAATCTCCACTAACAAATGCACATAGAGAAAAAAAGCCAGTACAAGAACTTTACATTCACTTCAACTCCAAACTTCAGTTTAATTTCTCCTTTAATGTCATGTGCCAGGATTGTCTGCATAGACATCTCTGATGGTATCTCTGTGATATTTAAAAAATCTAGTGGAAGCATTGTCATAACTTCACTATAATATAGGAAAAATTTTTGTATTTAGCAGATTTTGTGGGTTTTGAATAGCGGTGTTCAAAGGTTCTTTTCTAAATCTTAGCTTTCTTCACTGAAAAAAAGTCAGGTTAGATTAGGGTGACAAATCTAAGCCTAACACAACTTTAAGTGCATCCTGTTTTAATATTTTATCCCTAATATTTATGACAAATCTTTGAGACAGAAATTATTATTCTCACATTTAAAATTAGGAAATTAAAAAAAAAGGAAATAAAAAAATGAATAAAATTAGGAAATAGTAGATTAGAAAGTCTGAATATTATCTCAAGGTTGCTTAGTGGTAGATGGCATTTGAACTCTGGACTTTCAGGCTGTGAAGCAGATTAAATAGTTTATATTACATCTCTTCCTAATACTTCAAACTCTGTTTGGTTTCCTACTTGACTAAAGATCGTAAACTATATCCATCATATAGTTTAGCGTGTTGTCCCTTGTGATCTCAATTATGTTCCCAAGCTTTCTTGCTCTCCTTGATATTCACATGCTGCCCTCCAGCTCAGCTTCCAAAAGCTGGCTACTCTGGCTGTCACCTGGGAGCTTTTTGAACATTCCTGGTCATGAATTTGTACTATAATCCTACAAGATGTTCTCACTGGGGAAAATTGATTAAAGGAACACAGTAACTCTCTGTGTTAGTGCTTACAGCTTTATGAAAATGTCCATTTAACTAAAAAAAAAAAGTATAATGAAAATCAAATCTCCAATTGAGTCTAATGGGCTTTTAGTGTCCTTCAAAATACTAAGGGTGTAGGTATGTATCTAATTATAGCTCCCAAAACTCATTCTTCTCTTTGTGGTTTGATGAGTCTTTGTTTTCAACTCAGGAGCTTGGAAAGCTCTCCCATCTCTTCTATACCTTAGGGTTTCAAAGCGTGGTTGTCACCTTCTCCCTTTCTCATACATGTTCATCAGATTACAATTGCCCCAAACCCCTGCTGAGAGATGATCTGTGTTAGATCTTTACGAGGAAGAACACAGAAAACCTCAGGGTCTTATCTGCTAGGGTTCATCTGTGTCCCTGCACCAGGCTCCTCACCTACAATCCATTAAAGGAGACTCCTCAGCTGGGGGAGATTGAGGAGAGGAGATCCTACAGGCACAGTCCCTGAAGCTACCACCCTCACTCTCTGCCACCTTCTTTGTGTCAGGTAGGTCAGGCGGGGATGCTATGGAGGCAGCCCTGGTCTGTCACACTGGAGTGAAGACTGCTCCAGGTCAGTCCTTTCTGAAACAACTGTTTATTTTCTGAGGAAAAAATAAACTTCCAAAGTGCATATTTCTTTAAATGCAGCCAGTCTCCTTGTGGGCTGAGCCAAGGGTTGGGAGAGTGAACTTCTCCTTCTTAAAGTAGGCAAAGAGGACCTGTCCTAGTGTTTCTCTCAAGCCTCTACGAGGCCTTCTGTTCACCTGTATGTCCTATGGACTGGGGCAAGATTCCCACCATAATTACAAATCTAAGAGAGTGGGGCAGTTCCTTTCGAAGTAAGAAACTTTTACTTGGAAATGGGCAATTTGTTCGTGCGCCGGTGTATTATGAGCATTCCTGTGCATTTCTTCTACAGACTTGATAAAATGTCTTTCTTCTCGTCATGGATCAAAGCTATTTTAATCATTGGCTTGGCATTTCCTCTTTATTGTGGTGAGTAAATTTTTCAATCCTGGATGAAGCAGTTCACACATAGAAAATGCAGGAAACAACTACTATTATCAAGGAGCAGAGGAGCTTGCTGTGCTGGGCATATAATTCTTAAACTGGCACAGTGAAATGACACGTGTTACAAAAATCTTTTCACAAATTGCATCAGTTGATTGGTTTCTCACTTCCCTCCTTAGAAACGTAGAGCTAGAAAGGGTGGTTAGAATGAACAGTAGAATTTAGATGTTTGTTCATTTAGGACTAAAGATATTTATCTAATTTTCCCCATTTTTGGAGGTTGGATTTCATGGTTGCTCAGTGCAGAGTGTGGGGAGTAATACTGTCCTCTAGATCTGGTATTCCTCAACAATCCTACTCATTACTTGCCAGCTTTGTGTGCACTAAAGTCAAAATTTGTGTTAGGAGAGAACTAATTGATCCCTCTGCTGACCACTTATCTTTCTTAAAGCACAAGGTGGCCCATGAATTTCAGAGTAGAATAGCTGTGAGGTATTAAAGTGATTCATGATACTCGAGCTGAGTTTGAAGAAATTAAGTAGTAATTAACTTATTCATATTAAGTGACTTCATACAAGCATATTAAGTTGCACTAAGCAAGGTGTTTTTTCTCTGACTAGAATATCTTTTTTTTTTCCATTTATTTTTATTAGTTGGAGGCTAATTACTTTACATCATTACAGTAGTTTTTGTCATACATTGAAATGAATTAGCCATGGGTTTACATGTATTCCCCATCCCGGTCCCCCCTCCCACCTCCCTCTCATCGCTTCTCGGCCTTTTGGCTAAGATCAAGTGTAGTATCTGTTCTTATCAGAATATCTTATTTATAAAAATGAGGAAAAAAGGTATCCACAGAAAGTTTTGGTGATTATTAAACCATACTTAAAGTTATTTTTTCACAGATAATGAGGTGAATTTAGAATTCTGTTTACAGATTCAGAGTTATTTTGTGAAATTATTATTTTGATACTGTCATAGTAGCCTCACCTCATTACTTGCTGTGTTTGTGTAGGTGATTTGTATAGATGTGGGTATATCCTATCAAAGACTGTTTTTTCCTCTTCATCATCTTACTTTTCATCTTCCTTTTGTATGTTGATTGCAGAAACTTCTTTTGCATCTTCAAGAAAAACACGTGACATGCGTGGCGCTGTAAGTTTATATTGATTAATGTGGGAATTGAAAAAGGTAAACTTTTCATTATTTAGTTTAAAAGCTAATTTTACAAAAAAAAAAAAACACCACATAATAATTCTTCAGAAAGTAAGGTAAAGTGTCCTTATTACGCTAAGTTCAAGAAATAGAATCTTGCCAGCCATTCAAACCATCTGTCATTTCAGACAAGGTAAATATATCCCTTACTCAAAATTCTATTATCGGGCATAAACTTTGTTATATACCATCATCTGAAAGCAGTTAAGTGCTGTTTAAAGTAGATTGTTTACCCTAGAAAAGAGAAAGGCTAAAATTAAAGTGGCTAAAATAGTAGCTAAAAAAAAATTCCACTTATAGGAGGAATATAAAATAATAATTTTCATAAAACCTCAGAGTGAAATATTATAGAGAGGTGAAGAAAGTCAACTACAATTCTGAACAACTAAACAGATGAATATATTTAAACATGCCTAAAAATCAGCTCATATAGCAGTAAGTAAGTGAATGAGCATTCCTATCTTCCAATAAGAATTTAGGTATTATATGTTAAAAAAAAAGCAGGTTATGTCAGTATACACACACTTCTATTTATTTATGTAAATTACCAACACTGCCATTACTAACCAAATTATATATATATGTATATGGTTAAATACACACTTATAAACACTCATATATATGAAAAAATACATATATGGTAGTAATCTGAGAGTATCAGATTATCTAATAATGAAAGTATTGAGAAAAACAGGAGAATTATAACAAATTAACTTTTTTATAGTTGGGATAGTTGCATTCCAGTGTTGTGTTGGTTTCTACTGTACAGCATTTTTTATATGTGAGTAACTTCACATATAAACTTCAATATAGAATATGTTTCATTTTGATACATACCATGATGTATTAAGAACAAAGAACATTTTATTCAAGAAATTCATTATCTGAAAAATATTATGTTGTCTGTTTATGTTTAACAGCCAGTGTGTGGTATATATGTTGGTCAATTACATTTTTGTACCAGAGAAATGGATCCAATCTGTGCAACAAATGGCAAAACATACTCCAATAAATGCGTTTTCTGCAGTGAAAAAATGTAAGAACAAAAAACTCAATATTGCCTTTTCAAAAATAATGAAGACACAATCAGAAAATAATAGGAACATCCATGTTTCTGATAGCCAAGGCACAGTAAAACATGGAAAATAACTGTTCTTTCATGTAAAAGCCACAGAAATGCACTGGTATCTTTGCCTGAAGTCTCATTCATAAAAATAGTTTTTATTTGACCTTGAAGTATATTCCTGCTGGATGTTTCCTACATGTATAAACCAATTATATTTACTTGATTTAATTGCTTGACTTAATACTGGCAGTCTGGTGACCAGTATAATGTAATTCTTAACTCCGGAGGTTGGAGGTTGAATAATAACCTCTATGATGTAGCTCCAAGCTACAGGGAGCATAACTGAGCAAGAAACTCAACTGCCTTTAGAAATTTAAATTCATTACAATTTATGTCAGAAAGGAACTCCTCTGATGGTTCACTTTGTCCCCTGAACTCCATGACAAGACTCCAAACCTTCCTCAGAGAGCAGGGCAGAATAGGACACTTCTACCTAACCTCCCTTCCTGCCTCCTACCCTCTGGGGGTGTTCCCAGTCTAAAGGTTCAGCCAGCCATCCAACTTCCTGCTTCAGTTTCTCTCTCTGGTATTTCCTCTCACTGAATACCCAGGTGGGCTTCTACTTTTAGAGAACTGGGGATGCAGTAATCTCTCATCCTCTTCCTGAGGTCTGGGTGGGTTCCAAGGCTGAGTCAGGAGGGAGCATATAGGAAAAGTCAGGTAGCCCCAGGGGGTCAGGAGGACCTGTGCAGGGTGGCGGGGGTGGGAGGGGCCCCACTGCTTATGGAGCACAGCCCTCCTTGCTCCGTCACAGTCAGAGCTTCCTCATGGAGAAGCACTTAGTGCAATAGTCAGGCAATTTTAAATACTTTTTAAAAATAATTTTTCTTTCTTTTTATTTCTTTACAGAGAAAAGGGAAGATTTGATTTTAGTCATTGGGGTCGTTGCTGACTCTGCCTCAGCCACACATTCCTATGGCTTTTATTGCAATCCTATTTTGCTATGGATTCTACAACCAATTAGTCTTCTAAAACAGGGCTTTAAATTCCTAGATGACCAGACTAAGCCTTCAGTAGTACACAAGACAAGAATGTAGATTGTTGGAGAATTTTTCCAACTCTAAGAACCCACCAATGAAAAAGATTCCTTTTTTTCTTTCTTCAAATAAACATTGACAATTGAAAACCTACCTTAATTGTGTGTTTGATAATAGAAAACCTAATACAGTTTGTAATCATGAATATTTCAGTCAATAAAATGTTAAGTAATATTATCTTTATTAAAATACCCTTTCTGTTTTTGGTTGATTAGTGGGTTAAAACACCTGAATACTTTTGCTAACTATAATTAAAAAATAGTCTCAAAGGTGAATAATTCATTACTTGGAAGTTTATTAAAAGTGCAAACAGTTGGTTTTCTCTTTATTCTAAAGAGTCAAAAACCACATGAAAAGATGCTCAACATCACTCATTATCAGAGAAATGCAAATCAAAACCACAACGAGGTACCATTACACACCAGTCAGGATGGCTGCTATCCAAAAGTCTACAAGCAATAAATGCTGGAGAGGGTGTGGAGAAAAGGGAACCCTCTTAACCTGTTGGTGGGAATNGGAGGCGGGAGGGGGGTTCAGAATGGGGAACACGTGTAAATCCATGGCTGGTTCATGTCAGTGTATGACAAAAACCACTACAATATTGTAATTAGCCTTCAACTAATAAAAATAAATGAAAAAATAAAAAAAATTTTAAAAAAGAGTCAAAACCTCTAGAAGAGGAATCTGGGAACTTGAATTCTAACAAATATTACACATCAGTCTTCTGATCACAAATGCTAGCCAAGTGGTTCAACAGCAGACCAGCCAAATTTGCCTTTATTGCTTTAGAATATTCATTTGTGCTCCATGTCTGATGCTTCTCTGTTTATCTCCCAACCAGCAAGAACTGACTTTATTTGAGTGGTCAGTTTTCATTTAAAGCTTGGTCCAGACAGAATTGTAGACTGACTACTAGAAAGCAAGTTTCAAGCTGCTACATATGTGAGATCAGACCTGCTCGGCTTTTCAGTAAACATTTTTACCTCTAAAAGATAATATATATGGGAGTTATTCATTTACATTCTTTAATAGTAATTCCTAATGAAAGTATCCATTAAAATATATAAATTTATGCCCAGAAGTGGGATTTCTGGGTCACATGGCAGTTCTATTTCCAGTTTTTAAAGAAATCTCCACACTGGGCACACACACCGAGGAAACCAGATCTGAAAGAGACACGTGCACCCCAATGTTCATCACAGCACTGTTTATAATAGCCAGGACATGGAAGCAACCTAGATGCCCATCAGCAGACGAATGGATGAGGAAGCTGTGGTACATATACACCATGGAATATTACTCAGCCATTAAAAAGAATTCATTTGAATCAGTTCTAATGAGATGGATGAAACTGGAGCCCATTATACAGAGTGAAGTAAGCCAGAAAGATAAAGACCATTACAGTATACTAACACATATATATGGAATTTAGAAAGATGGTAACGATAACCCTATATGCAAAACAGAAAAAGAGACACAGATGTACAGAACAGACTTTTGGACTCTGTGGGAGAAGGCGAGGGTGGGATGTTTCAAGAGAACAGCATCGAAACATGTATATTATCTAGGGTGAAACAGATCACCAGCCCAGGTTGGATGCATGAGACAAGTGCTCGGGCCTGGTGCACTGGGAAGACCCAGAGGGATCGGGTGGAGAGGGAGGTGGGAGGGGGGATCGGGATGGGGAACACATGTAAATCCATGGCTGATTCATGTCAATGTATGGCAAAAACCACTACAATATTGTAAAGTAATTAGCCTCCAACTAATAAAAATAAATGGAAAAATATATACATATATATTAACACATTAAAAAAAGATAAAGGCAAAATAAAAACTTTCAGATCAATAAAATATATAAATTTAGAGCCACATTATTAAAATGCATTCAACCACTTTAATGTCCTTTTTCATTGTAAAAGATGTGTATAAGAAACATTATTCAGTGAATTGCTGGTAAATTTATGTGTATATTCTTTTCCATTATAAAAATTAAAAAAAATTAATTGAACACTTGATTTACAATATCATAAAACTTAAAATGTCCCATTTTAAAACAAATTTTGTTTTTTAAGTATATATTCACAATGTTGTGCAACCATCACCACTCTCTTCTTACAGAACATTTCTATCATCTCACCCATTCCAAGAAAAAAACAAAAACGGATAAACCCAGGTACTTCCCAATACTGCACCTATAATTCCTGGCAACCACTAAACTGCTTCTGGTCTCTCTGCCTCTTCCGGACATTTCACATCAATGGAATCATATAACGTGTGATTTTCATATAAATGATATATATAGGTCTATATCTACAGTAATACTTTGTTTTATTGCATTTTGCTTTATTATACTTCATGGACACTACACTTTTTACTGATTGAAGGTATGTGGCAACCTCATATAAAGCAAGTGTATCAGTGCCATTCTTCCAACAGCATTTGCTCACTTTGAATCCCTGTGTCACATTTTGGTAATTCTTGCAATGGTTCACACGTTTTCACTATTATTATATTTGCTATAGTGATTTGTGATAAAAAAAACTTTGATATTTACTACCATGACTCATTAAGAATCATTTGATGGTCAGCATTTCTTTAGCAATAAAGCATTTTAAAATTAAGGGATGTGTACATGGTTGCTTTAGACATAGTGCTATTGCATGCTTATTAGACTGCTGTGTAGTCCCATCCCAAAGAATGGTCAAACTACTGCACAATTGCACTCATCTCACATGCTAGTAAAGTAATGCTCAAGATTCTCCAAGTCAGGCTTCAGCAATACATGAACCATGAACTTCCAGATGTTCAAGCTGGTTTTAGAAAAGGCAAAGGAACCAGAGATCGAATTGCCAACATCCGCTGGATCATCGAAAAAGCAAGAGAGTTCCAGAAAAACATCTATTTCTGCTTTATTGACTATGTCAAAGCCTTTGACTGTGTGGATCACAATAAACTGTGGAAAATTCTAAAAGAGATGGGAATACCAGACAACCTGATCCACCTCTTGAGAAACCTATATGCAGGTCAGGAAGCAACAGTTAGAACTGGACATGGACCAACAGACTGGTTACAAATAGGAAAAGGAGTACGTTAAGGCTGTATATTGTCACCCTGCTTATTTAACTTATATGCAGAGTACATCATGAGAAATGCTGGGCTGGAGGAAGCACAAGCTAGAATCAAGACCTGGGTGTTCATTGGAAGGACTGATGCTGAAGCTGAAACTCCAATACTTTGGCCACCTCATGTGAAGAGCTGACTCATTGGAAAGGACCCTGATGCTGGAAGGGATTGGGGGCAGGAGGAGAAGGGGATGACAGAGGATGAGATGGCTGGATGTCATCACCAACTCGATGGATATGAGTCTGAGTAAACTCTGGGAGTTGGTGATGGGCAGGGAGGCAGGCATGCTGCGATTCACTCTTTGCAATTTGCAAAGAGTCTGACACAACTGAGCGACTGAACTGAACCGAACTGAAATGATAGTGTAACATAGCTTTTCTGTGCACTGGGAAAGCAAAAAATTCATGTGACTCACTATTGAAATATTTACTTAATTGGTGACCTGGAACCAAGCCCACAAAATCTCCAAGGTATGCCTATATATCAGTATATATGGAAGGTATCTTTTGTTTCTAGTTTCTTTTACTTAGCAAAATGTTTTCAAGGTCATCCATGTTGTAGCATGCTATCATATTTCTTTGCTTTTTATGACAAAATAATAATCCATTCTTATAGATAGAACACATTTTCTTTATCCATTTATCAGTGGACTGAGTCTCCTTGATGTGTATAATGACGGTGTAGCTATTAACAGTCCTATACAGGTTTTGTGTGACCATATATTTTCACATCTGTGGATATATACCTAGGAGTAGAATTTCATATACTGAAAGACAAGTACAATTTGCCATTACAAAGGCATGCTCCTTTTTTGGTAAAAATTTTCACATTTTCATTGAAATTTTGTGATTTTATTTTTATGATCTACATGGTGGATTTTCTTTGTTTAAATTCTCCAATATTAATTCTTAATGAAATTGTTTATTGGAATGTACATTTTTGGAGTCACATTGTTAAAAAAAAAAAAAGCATTCAGTTTGTTTCATGACCTTTTCCCCCACATAGTTGCGTAGAAAATAACTCTTCAAAGAGTGAATCAAAATCAAAGTGAGATACTACCTCACACCCATTAGAAAGTCTGCTATCAAAAAAGCAGAAAAAAACCCAGATGTTGGCAAAGATGCGGAAAAATTGGAATTCTTGTGCACTATTGGAAGAGTGTAAAATGGTGCAGCTACTATAGAAAACAGTTTGGCAATTCCTTTAAAATTTAAAAATAGAATTACCATATAATCCAGTAATTCTATTCCTGGACATATACTCAAAAGACTTGAAACCAAGATCTTGAAGAGATATTTTTATGCCAATATTCCTAACAGCACAGTAGCCAAGAAATGGAAGTAACACCTATGACCATCAACAAATAAACAGATAAGCAAAATACAGTATATACATACAATAGGATATTATTCAGCATTGAAAGAAAAAATTCTGACACATACTATAACAAAAGACAAATACTCTATGATTACACTTATATGAAGTACTACTAGAGTAGTAGCAAAGCCATAGACACATAAAGTAGAATGGTGGTTTCCTGGGGCTCAGGGAGAGGGAGATGGGTTGTTGAGTAGTTGTTTAACTTGTAGAGAATCTTAGTTCTGTGAGATGAAAAGAGTTTTAAAGATTGGCTGTTCAACAGTGTCAATATATTTAATGCTAATAAATGGTATGCTTAGAAATGGTTAAGACAATAAAATTTATATGTATTTTACCACAATTAAAATTCTAAAAATTATTCAGTGAACCCTGATGTATTCATATATGCGAAAGCCACAGTCATCAAGACAGTGTGGTACTGGCACAAGGTCAGAAATATAGATCAACGGAACAGAATAGAAAGCCCAGAGATAAATCCACGAACCTATGAACACCTTATCTTCGACAAAGGAGGCAAGAATATACAATGGAAAAAAGACAACCTCTTTAACAAGTGGTGCTGGGAAAACTGGTCAACCACTTGTAAA